GGTCTTGACCCCGCGGGTTCAGGCAATCCACTCCCCTCAGCCTCCCAAAGCGCAGGATTACAGGCTGAGCCACCAAGCCTGACTGGAATTTTTTTTTTTAACACTGCACCTGCATGAGTGCATGAGTTTGGTATTTGTTCCAAGAGGATGAGAAGGCCAGCAGAGCCTTAGAAGAGGGCCATTATCAGCCTGGCCTTTAATACATTTATTCTTTTTTAAGAGACAGTGGTCTCACTATGTTGCCCAGGCTGGGCTCGAACTTCTGAGCTCAAACTTCTTGCTACCGTGTCCAGCTCAACTTGGCCTTTTAAAAAGGCCTTTATTGAGGTATAAATTTATACTCTGGCTACAAGTAGAAATGAATAAAGAGGACAAGAATGGGTTGAGAGAGACACAGCAGAAGACAAGGCTAAAAATGAAATCGGTGTTAGTGTAAGGAAGTCTGGAAAGTCAGGAGACGTTTGAGCTTTTTAATAAGTGCTCAAATGAGAAGTAATCAAACGGTATTGAGCAGGGAAATCCCTAACTCCTCTCAGCACAGGACAACTAGAGAGCTGAGGACAGTGGTAGGGCTCGTGTGACCACTCCCATATTGCATTAGTGATATGCTAAGTCAACATTTTCCAAAATTGATCACAAAGGCAATCTGGAGCACTTATTAAAAATGCCAATTTGGGCTGGGTGCAGTGACTCAGGCCTGAAACCCCCAGCACTTTGGGAAGTTGAGATAAGAGGATCATTTGAGGCCAGGAGTTCAAGACCAACCTGGACAAGACAAAGATCCCATTGCTATAAAAACAAAAAGTTAGCTGGGCATGGTGGCATGCACCTGTAATTCCAGTTATTTGGGAGGCTGAGACAAGAGGATCACATGAGCTCAAGGTTTTGAGGTTGTAATAAGCCAAGATTGCACCACTGCACTCCAGTCAGAGTGACAGTAATACTCTGTCTCTGAATGAATGAATGAATACAATGTTAATTCTCAAACCCAGATCTTCTGAATCTAAATTTTGAAAGAAGGCTGGCAAGTTGTGTTTTTGTTGATTTTTAAATACAGCTCTAGGTGATTCTCATGGTCAGGCATGTTTTAGGAAAATGCTGATTTATACTTTTTTTTTTTTTTTTTGAGTTGGAGTCTCACTCTGTCACCCAGACTGGAGTGCAGTGGCTGCTCCCAGCCACCGCAGTCTTGACCTGCTGGGCTCTGGCGATCCTTCCGCCTCAGCCTTCCGAGTAGCTGGAACTACAGGCGTGTGCTACCACACCCGGCTCGTTTTTGATTTATTGTGGAGATAAGGTCTCGCCAAGTTGCCCAGGCGGGTCTCGAACCCGCGGGCTCAGGCAATCCACTCACCTCAGCCTCCCAAAGGCGCGGGATTACAGGCTGAGCCACCGAGCCAGGCTCATACTTTTTTTTTTTAATTCATTGTCCAGACAAGCAGAAAAACAGAATAAGACAGAATATAGCAGCTATTCTAAAATATGACTAGGTCAGGCTTGGTGGCTCAGCCTATAATCCCAGCACTTTGGGAGGACAAGGTGAATGGATTGTCTGAGTCCACAGGTTTGAGACCCACCTGGGCAACTTGGCGAGACCTCATCTCTACAATAAATAAAAAATTAGCTGGGCATGGTAGCACACATCTGTAGTTCCAACTCCTTGGTAAGCTGAGGCAGAAGGATCACTGGAGCCCAGCAGGTCGAGGCTACGGATGCCAGGAGCATGATACTGCACTCCAGTCTAGGCGACAGAGTGAGACTCCAACTCAAAAAAAAAAAACCAAACAAAATATAGACTACCCTTTTCTTCTAGGGAATGATGATGAAACATACTGAAAAAAGTTAGAGGCTCTCCAAAGACAAGAATAGGTAAAAGCAACTTGTAAAAGGTAAATATAGTAAAATAATAAAGTTGTGATGGATCTGCATCCTACTGGTTGATCAGCCTCTGTGGCATCAGCTCTCAAGCAGTGTAGGTGCAATTCTTGGCAGAATCTGAGTGTATTAGTTTCCTAGGGCTGCCATAACAAATTACCACAAACTTGGTGGCTTAAAACAACAGAAATTTGTTTTCTGACAATTCTGGAGGTGAGAAGAAGTCAAGATGTCAGCAGGACTGCGTTTCCTCCCGAGGCTCTGGAGAAGACTTCTTGCTTGCTTCTCTCAGCCACTGGTGGCTCCACGTGTATTTTAGTTTGGGGCTGCATAAAGCCAATCCCTGCCTCTGTGATTTATTTTATTTTCATTTATTTATTTATTTATCTATCTATTTATTTATTTATTTATTTTTTGAGTTGGAGTCTCACTTTGTTGCCCAGACTGGAGTGCAGCGGCCACTCCCGGCCACCCTCGACCTGCTGGGCTCCGGCGATCCTTCCACCTCAGCCTTCTGAGTAGCTGGAATTACAGGTGCGCGCTACCACGTCCGGCTAATTTTTTTTTTATTTCATTGTAGGATGAGGTCTTGCCTGCCCAGGCGGGTCTCGAACCTGTGGGCTCAGACAATCCACTCACCTCAGCCTCCCAAAGGCGCGGGATTAAAGGCTGAGGCACCGAGCCCGGTTTAGAAGCATTTTCTTAAGTTACACCCACCTAGAGGTTTCACACATTCCTTAGTGAGAAGGACTTGGCATTAAGAGAGGAACTCTAGAATATTTGTATTTGTATTATTGGCATATTCAAATATACATCTATTTTTGCTTAACTATTAAAATTGTGTGGTACTTATTCCCTAGAGTGGGTTCAGCTCTTGTTTTTTTTTGTACAAAATTCTCAGGTAGTCATTAAAAGATAAGAGAAATTGAAAATGATGTCTAAACTAGAGAGGCCCAAATACAACTTTAGTCAAGATCTTTGTACCCAGGATGAGTAGACTGGTCACATAGCAACCTTATCAACTGGGATTTGGACAAGACTTACTTCTATCAGAATATGCCATATGCTCTATAAACACAAACTCCGGTCTTTCCGATTATTTAAATGGCTGCCTATACCACATTTGCAGCTTTCCTGGCAACATATTGTCAAAATGATGACAGATTCTGAGATACCAAGTCTAAATCCATCAGGTTTTACTACCAGCATCCACGTCCCTTTGTCCAATGTGGTCCTAGACTCAAACTTGCCAGTCTTTGCAATAATAGCTGACAAAACACCAATATCTCATTGCAATTTATGCTATTGTCTTGCAAATTCTGCTAAACATAATTACAGGCAAATGAACTTTCAGCACTGGATAGTTATTCCTTAGTTAGTGGACTTTTTGGCCAATCAGGCAACTATCCTCTCAGTTGATTTCACAATGGTAATATCTGCTTATTTTCTTTAACATCAGCAATATAGATAACATAAATTCAACCTTCACACTATAAAAGAAAGCTTGAATAAATTCATCCTGTATATTCTTTTTGCAAAACCTCTACTAATAAATCCAGGAGTGAAATATTTCCTGTTATATCTCAACATAAAAAGAAACATTGCCTTTTTTTTTTTTTTTTGCCAAAGAAAAATTCAGAAGTGGCAAATATTTGAATTTGAATCATTCAAACAAAAATGTTAGAAAAACCTCTCCACCTCCAGCCTTTGTTAACTAACACATAAGCAGAATTCCAAGAGAGAAGGACCGTTGCTTTTTGTCTAATCTGGTAATAGGAAGGAAGTGGATGAGTCTCTGATAACTTTTGCTACAGATTCCTTAATCTAGGCAATGATTACAAATGCATGCACTTAATTTGAACAGTAATAGTTAAGTTGATCTCCAGATGATTCATTTTGTAAACGTTTAGCCATTAGTGTTCCAGCTGGAGTGGACCATGTGCTGCCTTCCCGCTGACATCAGTGGAAATCTTGAGTCAAGATCAAAGCTACTTTATGCCTCTCTGACCTTTCTTCACAATGCACAGTGAGGCCTGATTTCTCAGCTCAGAATTTTCAGATTTATTTGCTTCGCTGTCCCCATGGGAGTTACTACTTACAAAGAGCCTACATGCAGATTTTCACTGAAGACCCCACCACAGGCTCATTGGAAATCACATTTTGGATTCTGGTTTTCAAGTGGTTTCCTCATCCAGATCCCAAATTTCAGGAAATCAAGTTTTGTTGTGTTTCCAAGACCTCTGAATAGAAAGAGAACCCCAGCAGCGTGGAATGGCCATGCTCATTTTGCCCTCAAACAAACCCCCATAGGCTGCCTTTACTCTACAGACCTACTTTGAGAATCAGTTGGAGAAGGATCCCTTACCTTGATAGTCATGTCTGGGCTGGATGTTTCTGTGTCATACGAGGCTGACTCATCTCCCTTTAACAGGGCACTCTCCCACTCGACTCCTGAAAAAAAAAAGTGCCATTTGAACCAAGTAATTCAGCTAACAAGGACAGACACATAGCTGGCATTTCTCAGATTTCAGTACCATTCGACTTGTAAAGGAAGCTGCTGATAACCTGTAAGCCCCTTACTTACCTGGCAGTTACTGGGCCAGAAGAGCTCCCTTTCAAACATGTGGTCAGATAGCACTTCTCTTGCTTTTACCTAATCTCTAACTTTAAAGTGCATTGTCTAAGTCCTGTATCTTATAGAGCATGTTTAAATCCTAGCCCAGGTGGAGAAGAGGTTGGAATGAGCTCCCCCAGAACCCAGGCCTCATCCTGAAGTCTCATTTGGGGCTTAAAATGAATCCCAGAAAACACAAATATACATATCCAATTCAATACCTAACAGAAATGACTCCAGATTATTTCCAATTCTCAATTCTACACATCCACCCAAGGGAAATAAATGAGAGCTCACTGCCACTATTAAAATCTGTACAGGCTCTCTTTCCAAACTTTAGAAACACTAATGTCTCTTTCTTCTTAAGCTGCCAGACTATCTCCAAGAGCAGCCACCTGGCAAAATACAAGATTTTGTTCTCTCTAATCTCAAAGAAGAGATCAGGGGCTGGTGTTCTGAAATATCTATGAATACAATATAATAAAACTACATTCATTTGGATGCAATTATGTGTTTGAATAGAGTTGAAATGTTCTACATTAGTGAAAAGTTTGAAGAAATGCAAGCATATTTTTTAAAACATAGGTCTATTGCAAGGAAAATCATCCCCTTAAAGGCTAGTAAAGTACTATTTAGTAGAGTTTATCAGAATCTATTTTAACAAGCAAATACAAATTTTATAATTGGTACAATAACTGCCAGTTTGGAAAAAAGTGCTCATAACCTAAAGTATTAAAAGATTATCCTCTTGCATAGGATAAAATTCTCTGTGTAATATTTGTTTATATTATTGATTTTTCTATTACTTTTCTCTAAGGATAACTCAAGGGCAATATTCACCCCAGACTTGTGTGAATAATCCAAATTCCAAAATGTCAACTGTCTACCATTATGTTACACCAGGAATGGCACACTTCACTGTCTGCCAAATAGTACATATTTTCGGCTTTAGGGTCATGTTGTTTCTGTTGCAGCTTTTCAATCTGCAGCTGTAGAGCAAAAATAGCCCACGTAAATGAATGAGCAAAGGTATGTTCCAATAAAACTTTACAAAAACAGTAGGCCAGATTTGTCCCATGAGATGTACATATTAGCCTCTGTGCTAAATTAAGAAAACAGAAATGTGTAAAATTGCTATACCACAGGGTTTCTATTAAGAATCAACATAGATCTCATCTCTACAATAAATCAAAAACTAGCCGGGCATGGTAGCGTGTGCCTGTAGTTCCAGCTACTTGGAAGGCTGAGGTGGAAGG